GCGGGGCCGTCCTGACAAGCGGCCGTGGTGCTGCCAGTGAGCGGTGGCGCTGTCAGGCCCTTGGCGCGGGCTCAACTCCCGTCAAACTGAGTGGCGAAGAGAGCGAGAGCGCCGCGAGCGTTTGGTGCTGCAGCTGGTGCAGCTGCCACACCGTGGGCCGGGGACGACAACAGGAGGTCTCCACGCGGTCCCGCGCCCCGCCCGACCGGATGTGGCCACTTGTTGAACCCGGTGCTCCCCGCCGTCATTCACCCCACCAGGGGCCCACCGGGGGCCCACCAAGGGCCTAACCCCACTAGGGGCCCATCAGGGGCTCGCTATGCAGCGACCGTCAGGTGGCAGTTCACTGCAAAAACAACGGCATCATGTCGCACCTTTGGGTTTTAGTGCCTTTTCAAAATCAGATGCAGTTACAAAGGTGTTAGAACCAAAATATAGTTGATATCGTATTCGAATAGTTTTGAGTTGTGAGAGCAAAATACATATGTGGTTTTTGAGCCAACCGCATACGATGTTTGCCATAGCTAATAATTCTTCTAGGTTTTTGGAGTTTCATTTCTGTATACTAGTACTAGATAAAATTCAAAAATGAATTAGTTGATTTTTCGTCTCGTACCGCTAAAATTATTTCTGCACCGTTGGAATGCCTTACGTTTGCATTTGTAGGGTAGTGCCACCGCGGCCGGCTCGCTGATGTTCGGCATTTGTCATTGGAATTGGCTGCGGGACTCTAAATTGGCAGAGCTAGGAGTGGTCCCCGATCCCACCGCCTGAGCGCGCCAGCAGCGACGGTGGGGCGCCGCAGGACCGGCAGGCAGCCCCGGGGCAAAAGCCTTTTGTTCTAATGCAAAGCCTTTTTACTAGGCTTTGGCTCCGCCGGGCTGTGGCGGCGCGCCGGCCGGCCCCCTCCACCTCCTGAGGGCCCTAGGGCTCGCTAGGGACGAGGCAGGCTGGCCGCTCCTGCTGCAGCTCGGATCGCATCGACTGCTCGACCAGCTCGCCCCGCGCTCGGTCGTTCGGTCGGGTGGATCGTCACGAACTCTACTCCCGGTCGGATAAAATCTGCGACGGAAATCTTGGGTGTATGCAAGTCAAGTCAGAGGCGTGGCGAGGCGGGGCTGGGCGGGACAG